AAATGCTAATCTTGGCCACCAACAACTAAATAGTCTCTTGGATTTCACACAGGTCTAGAAGGCCCATGGCTGATGAGTATTCCCACACAATGTGGAGTCTTCCTTTAGAGGGAGTACCTCAAAGAGAGTCAAATCTAAATTCCTAGTGGAAGCCTTCATCTATTATTTCACATCCATTTCTACCATCCAGCAAACCCCCTGCCTGTCCGTAAAGACATATCAGATGTTCCGATTTCTACTGATGAAAATTTTCAACTATAATTTAATAAAGCAGCCTGCCACTTGCAGGGCTGTTCTTGAAGTTAGAATCCCCAGGGCTGTGTCTCGGCCTCTGTATTCTTGCTTCATCAGCTGAGGTGCCGCGGCTATGCTGTGACTGATTTCTGTGAAATACAAGTGTACCTCAACAACCGGGCCTAATTAAATACAGGTCAAATGCGGTTAGAACAGCAGACCACGGATTATGACACGGCCACCCTACCAACCCCTTCCAGCAGCCAGGGAGGTTGTTCTGAGAGAACTGTGTGAGAATTCCAAAGGACAGGAGAAAGTTAAGCAGCTTTGAACAGACTCACAGAGAAGACTCCAACTCGCTGTACCATTAAGTAACTCTCCTCCCCTAAATGTGACTTGTCAGGACAGTGACAAAACCCAGCAACTTTATTATACCATGAGGTTGAGACCCCAGCTCTGCACTCCATTAGTTACATCACTGAGGGGAAATGGTTCTTCTCTCTCCTTTTTCTTTTCAGTGTCTATAGCAGTGGTTCTTCACTTTCCTGATGCCGTGGCCCTTTAATATGGTTTCTCACGTTATGGTGACACTCACGACCACAAGATTATTTCATTTCTACTTCGTAACTGTGAATCTGCATAGTCGTGAATTGTGAAGTAAATATCTGATATGCAGGATATCTCATATGCGACCCACAAAGGGGTCATGACCCACAAGTTGAGAACCACCGGTCTGTAGTGATGTTGACTTCACAAGGGACTGAGGTGATTAGGTGAGATAATGGATGCTGAACATGCTGCCTTTGAGACCTAGCATTTACTAAATAGTAGCTAGTGGTTAAAACATAGTCTCCAAGCCTAGCTGAATTTAATCCATTTCCTTTTCCAGTACTTGAATTTATTCCAACAGAAAATTAATTTAGTTCTAAAAAGAGAGTAATTTAGTTATACAAATTAATTTAGTTATAAAAAGAAGCCCTTTAAAAAATATCATAGCCCATGATAAGGAAGGCAGTAGTCCTCCTCGCCAAGGTCAGAGAGTGTCCTCCTGACACTCAGCTGAGGACACCTGCCCTGAGGGAACAGAATATTTCCACTGAGCTACAGGGAGACTGATGACTTTGAGCCTGGGAGGCAATGGCCTTAAAGCAAATAGGAGCTATGGATTTCACTAGAGCCCTAAAAGACGGGAAAGGGCATGTGCCAAAAGTAGTAAGGAGAGTAAGGAACATCCAGTTTCAGAACTGTGGCTGGACCAATTCTCCATTCATGCTGCCTAAGAAACAGCTCTTACAACTAAAGTTAGGGAACATTAGCAGTTAGGGTGATGGGCCCTGGGGTATCTTCTTAGGAAAAAATGTCCTGCAGGAGTACAAAAAAAAAGTGACATTTGCACAAATGCTCAGAGTTTTGCTCGCTCCCTACTTAAGGATGGCTTGCCCAATAAAATCCAAGCAAACTGTTATTAACGCCCACAGTTAAGAGCCGCACACTCACGTTTGTTCTTAATGGTTAAGAGTCCTGTACCAGCAGGCTGGGGAGGCTCTCTCAGCTCCAACTGCAGCACGGCGTAAAAGCAATCATAATTTCCAGAGCCTCATATAACTCCTGAGGTTTACCTGAGCACTAACCTACCCAGTGAAGAGTCTTTTTAAATTTTAATTTAATCTTTAAAATATACTGAGTTGTGCGTATTTTTGGGTACTTGGGATGTATAAATTTACAATGTGTAATGTTCAAATGAAGGTACTGATAAGCATCACTTCAATGTTGTGACACTTGGAGTCTTCTCTCCCAGACATTTTAGATCTGTCATAAAATGTTACAGACTGCGGCTCCCTGGCAGTGCCATAAACACCAGAAATGCTTCCCCCTAACAACTCTATTTTGGCACTTACTGTATGACCTCTCTCATATCTTCTCTCCCTCTCTGCTTCCAGTCTCTTGTGACCTCTATTCTCTCCTTTAAGAGATTGGCTTTTTTAAGCTTCTACTAATTATTAAGACACATTTCATTTGTCCTTTTGTGAGTGGCTTGTTTTGTTTAACATAATGTCTTCTGCTTCAACCAAAACTAACAAGCGTATTATTTTAAGTACATGATAAACAAATGCTTTTCAACTTTCCTTCAACTGTCTACAGTGTACTTTCTACGTGTGGATTATAGGAAAAACACACATCTAGTTCTCTGCTTTCAGTGAGTACATTTTAGACATAAAATGTGAAAAAATAAGTAATAAAATATTCAAATTAATGTTCAAAGCATCCTTTGAAGAACTATAGTAAAAACAATAACAATACACACACAAAACAAAACAAAAACTGCAACAGGAGCCTAGCCAGAGGAGTTGGCACATATACTTGGGAGACAGAGGTAGGAGGAATGGAAGTTAAAGGGCAGCTTCAGTTACATCACAAGTTCAAGGCCAACCTTGACACTGTCTCAAAAACAAAGACAAGCTGGGTGGTAGTGGCATATGGCTTTAATCCCAGCACTTGGGAGGCAGAGGCAGGCAGATTTCTGTTAGTTTGAGGCCAGCCTGGTCTACAGAGTGATTCCAAGACAGCCAGGGCTACATAGAGAAACCCTGTCTACAAAAACCAAAACCAACCGAACAAAAACCAAAATCAACAACGACAAAACCAAACCTCTAAATAGGTTCCAGTTGCTGAGGAAATGTCAACAATTGACACATGGGGCCTCTTGAATGTAAGGAAAAACAACATGAGGAATGAAAGAAAAAAAAATCTGTGCTAGTTTTACATGTGACATGGGATGTCTATCTTCAATATGCAAACCCATAAAGACCTGAAGCAAAAAGAAAAACAAGCAAAACAAGCAAAAACAAACTGGTCAATAAGTGGAATGATGAAACAGACAGCTCTCAAACGAGGAAACTCAAACAGCCAATAAACAGGTCTTTCCAGTCATCAGAGAAATACAAATTAAAACTGCATTAACATTCCATTTCACTCCGGTCAGAATGGCAATCATTAAGTTTTAAAAGGCTGGCAAAGATGTGGACAAAAGGCAACGCTCACTCCTGTAGCAGTGGTGGGAATGTAAACCAGTCCAACTTCTGTAGATTAAAAAAAATAATAAATTTCCTCAAAAAAAAAAAAACCCTAAAAATAAAACTACTCTATGATTCAAACGTAGCACGCCTAGGTATTTATCCAAATGATTCAAGTCCTGTCACATAAACGATACACTGTAGCACTACTCACAGCAGCTGAGCTATGGAACTAAGCTAGGTGTACAGCAACAGCGCAACAGAAATAAAAAACACTCGCACATGCACGCACACATGTACAGACACACACACACACATACACACACATGGACTGGGAGGTGATAGCCATAAATAACAAAGATACATCCTTTGCGGGAAAATGGATGCCACTGGAGACAGTTACGTTAGGACAATTAAACCAATCTCAGACAAACGGCACATTTTCTCAAATACGTGGTGGCTAGATTTTTATAAACAGATAAAATCATGTATGTACATATGATGTGAAAATAGAAGGGAAGCTGGACAGGGGTCTCGTGGGATGAAGGGTGAGAAAGGGGACGATGAGGAGGTGTGAGGAATGAGCAGATACAACACACAATTTGCTGTCGTCCGAGAGTGTCCTTGTGTGATGCAGACCGGTACTTTGGAAACCAGAGAGGGAAGATCATACAAATGGACGAATTCCCTGTTGTAATACTTTCCATTTGGAGAGTTTATGTGGAAGAGAGGTTTTAAATGGGGTCTCCAAGGATGAGCAGCCCTGGTAGGGTGTGGCAATCATGGCCATTACACATTAGGTGTGTGCTTTGCCTGGCGGAGCAGCCTTTGAAACTGCCTGTGGTACCCTCAAAGATAAGCCTGCAGAGTCCTATTCGCAAAAACATCCTTAGCAATAAAAAAGGGGGGGTCAACGCCTTTTCTGTTCTGTGTCGTGAGGGGGACCTCTGAGTATGACAGCACCCATAAAGAGAGAAGACATGTCTGAGGGGCCCTGCCAACGTAGATTTGGAATTATTTTAAGATGCTCCAATTATGCAAATGACTCGAAGGCCCCAATACTCTGAGACATACCATTATTAAACAACAGTACTGACCCTGCCTTTGGGGGAGGTGCTAAAATCATGTTTTCAGATATGCCATATTCATGTTGGTGAATGCAACGTGGGGAAATATTTTTTACCATTTTGTTACCATTTTTTTAAGAGAGGTTTTATGTGAAAACCTCATGGATGTTACAGAAAAAAAATAGTTCAGTCACAATCAAAATCCTCTGTTAGCTCACAGAAGCCTCAATTTGATGCTATTCTTAGAAAGGCTCTTACTCTGAGTGTGTAAATCAGACCCCCTCACCCAGGAGTGTGCTGCAGGGGGGTTTCCCATTTCATGGACTGTATATTCACTGAAGAGAAAAAGTGCCAAGAAATATTTTTTTTTTTCCTCTTGGAAAGTGAGTGAGACATGCAGATGGAAATGAAGCACTCTAATTACTTCCTAGCCTCAGATCTACAGCTGCTGCTGGCTCAGCCCCGACGCAGCAATGGCTCATGCTGGTGTGGTCGCATGCGATGGACAGCCTCCACTGGAGATTCTGGACCACCTGGAACAGAGGCCCGGGGCACGCTAACAGCAAGACCGGTCCTCAGAGGTCCGCACGCCCTGGTCATGGGTGCTATTGACATTTTTAAACATGTACCTTTTTTTTTTTTTCCTCATACAACAATTTTTGAAATAAAAGCAGGGGAAACCTACCTGACCCTTTCTGGACTGGCTCCATTCCCCAGGTAGCTTTGATGCTAAAGCCTGGTGCATGCTAAGGGGATGCATCCAAGCACAAGAAGGAGCCAGTAACAGAAATGGACGTCCTAGAATCTGTAATAAGAAGAGAGAGTAAATGTTCGCGCAACAGCATCCTAAGTGAACATTTCTGATAAGTTACTGCAGGCCCGAGGACTACAAAAGCAATCTGATACTTTACCTTGGAAAGTATATATATATATTGACTGGCTACGGAACCCTCAGCTCCTCTGACAAATCGGGGCTTGTGGCGCTGAGACAAGGGCTGACAAAACAAAAGCACCTTTAAAAGGCTCTGAATGTACTTTGCTAGTGTGGATCTCACAACCGGTGTGGGGGAGTAATCTTTACCATCTTTTTATCTTATTTGCATGAAGCCGCTGGCTGGATCCTGACCCCCGGCTAGCCCACAGATCACAGCCTCGAGCACCGAGCCCACATCCCACTGCAGTGTCTCGGGAATCTGCACAGTCACTCCTCTTCTGAGTCTCCTCTGCAAAGGGAAGTCACAGGGACCAATCAGCCAACCTGACTTCTCACTCCCATGCCCAGAATCCTTTGTGAGCTGAAATGAGTCATCGCTCCAAGAAAAGCCACAGCCTGTGTGTGTCTGTCAGGTCCTTTGTCTGTGTAGTACAGAGACTCCGAGGATAGGACAGACCCTGGGTGCTGGGGCCAAGGAGCAAATGCTCCCCTCCAGGGGTCCCAGGCACCATCACATGCATTACTCCCCCCCCACATATATTTTTTTAATCACCAAAAGAGTAAAAAGAGCACATACCTCCAAAATGCTTCAAGAAAGAACACATATTAAATTTTACCTGCCATTGTATACTCAAAAAAAAAAAAAAAAAAAAAAAAAAAAACCTTCAATCAAATATTTGGTACATTTTTTCTTTCTTTTTCTTTTTTAAGTTTGTTTTTAAGGCTGGGGTTTTCCCTGTCATGGAGGATGAATCTCCCATCTACGTGTAACAGGCAGTTCTACAGTACACCGGATCAAAGTTTAGCTGCAGCGAGCTATTTGTCAGAGATTCCAGTTGCCTTGCAAGTCTTTGCAAGCCCGGGGCTCATTGCCCCATCGGGCTTGCAGCCCGGCAGCATCACGGCTCTGCCACTGCCCGTAAAGGCAGTGTCGGGAATGAGGTCACTATGTCAGGCTCAGCGTCAGGCTCTCCAGAGCTTATATAGCACAACTGGTAGGAGCCAGAGGATTTGTGGCTTTATATCGCTGCTTTGTCTCCTTTTTTGAAAAATTTAAAAAAGAAATTGTATGTCTAAGATCAGGAAGGGAAGAAAAAAAAAAAAAGCCACATATCTATGCAAAAAAAATGTCTTGTTCATTGCACCAGCTGTACCGGACTCATTATCAGCCTACGCTGAATACATCCTACATCTATGTGTATATGTGTTGTATACAAACATAAGCAAGCCTACAAAGACACACACACACACACACACGAGAATCTATAGGGCAGAAGTACTTTGTACTGACAGATGAGCCACCACAACATCCTCAGGAAGAAAAGAGGGCATAAGTTGGCAGAGAACAGAAGGCAGGAATGCTAGCCGTCACACACAGCTGGGAGAAAAATGGAGCCGGGAGCAAAACAATAACAATGAAGGACGGGATGAATTCTACTGTATTCAAAGAGCATCACCCAATGTTCCCAAAGGGGGCACGCAACAGGCACCCTTACTCTCACCTCAGAACCAAATAGACACACCCACCAGTGCCCCCACACTCCAGATACCAGAGAGAGCTGGGCAGCGGATGATGTGGGTGCCGCAAGCTCACCACAGCTTCAGGAACACAGCAGCCAAACCCCAAAGGGAAGGCACAACTAACGCCAGCTACTGTAAACCCAAGGGAGTCCTCACCACGGCTCTTCCCATTCACTTGGCTTCCATCCTTTCTTGAGACAGAATCTTACTCTGTAGCCTGGGCTGGCCTCGAACTTCCTGAAATCCTCCTGTCTCAGGGCTTCGATGATGAAGATGGGAAGCATAGCTCTTCCAAATTACTGAGTTGGAAGGACCCCCTCAGAGGATTACCAGGCTCACCAGAACCTTGTCCTCATGTGATGCCTATGGTTCAGCCATATCTAAGACACACCACCATGAAACTCAGGCCCTGTCCCAAGCCAGCCACAGTCCTCTGCTGAGTCCCAATAAACCCCTTCCCTATAGTGATTCCCTAGTCTGGTCTTGGGAAGCTCCCTGTCAACACATCCAATAGCTATAAATATACATTAGCCTGGTTCCCAGGTGCCAGATCACCTCTTCTCTAGTTTTTTGCAGTTTTAGTTGCCTAGTAAGCATGTGGACTGCGTATTCACTTTCGGCTTGATCGGTATGTTTGATTCCAGTGTTACAAAACAAACACCCCCCCCCCAAACATAAAACCCCAAACTCTTTGGTGTCAGTCTTCTTCTAGTTCTTTTCAATTCCTCAGCTGCCATGGTACTTTTTCTTTTACTGACCTGGTCCCTCAAGTCCCAGCATGGGCTGTGGACACCCTGTCACACTGCTCTGGCTTTGTCATCGACTCTACATCCACCAGTCTAGGAATGTGATGGAGATTAGCTATTGTGTGTCACTGACAATCCCTTAGTGGCCATGACTAAACTAGGTGATGCTTTGAATATCATGGAATCATGCACTTCAAAACAAAAACCCTACGAATTATACCTTCAGTGCTTTTTTTAAGAAATGGCTTGGTCTTGAATTTCCCTCCCAATGCGTTCTCAACTCTCTCCTCCTGGCCTGTCACTATGGAATGAACCTGTGGCTCAGGACTGGGGTCTTCTATCAATGCACCCCGAAACTAATCAATGCACTTTCAGTTTAGCTGGATCCTTAATTATAAATCCATCACAGTCCACCCAGTGCTTTCATGAAGGTCAGTACTCATTGTCAACTTGACGGGATTAAGAATCACCTAGGAGACGGGGTATGTCTGTGAGAGGTTCCCAAAGGTACTCAGCTGAGGAGGAAAGATCACTGAATAGGGGAGGGCAGCCAGCTGAACACCAGTGTGTGCCTTTCCCCTTTCTGACTACAGATTCAATGCAGTCACCTGCCTTTCTGCTGCCATGGCAATACCATTAGCCCTGGCAGTTTAAGGCCCTCCAGGGAAGTACCGGATCCATGTACTACCTTAATGGCTAAAGATTCTGGTTACTTCTATGTATATTGCAGGTTAAATCAGTGAATAAAGAAAAACGAAGCTCAAGCAAGCAACAGCATAGAAAATGACAAAGAGGTGTATGAAGTTTCTAATATCTAAGTATTCATGTTTCCATCCTGAGATGGGCCTATTCTGTTCAGAGACAGAAGCAGCTAAGCCTTTCAGTGAAAGACAAGTCCCATCAAGATTCCCATTTTCAAAGGATTCAACCTTCCTTCTTCCAGGTTTCACAGCCACTGAGTGCAAGGAGAATCTGAATCCCAGAGAGCTGGCTCCAGAGTCTGCACTGGAAGCCGCACACAAACACCCACATTCTCTCTCTCTCTCTCTCTCTCTCTCTCTCTCTCTCTCTCTCCATTATAATAGAATAACCACAGAAAAGAAAACGTTTAAAAAACAGGTACTTCAAATTTTAAATTAAAACCAAAGCCAGCTGGTGACTTAGCACATGGGGTCAACATGGTTAGTGCCCCAGGTTAGATCCCGTCGGTAGCTGACGGCTCCATCCAGTTCTAGATTCTGAAAAGCTGCCCTCTGACCCCTGATAGCTAACGTTCATTGAATGACCATGCAGAAGAATTCAAAATGCCAGTCAACACTGCAAACACCAACATCCCTTGCTGCCCTACTGTTAGTAGGATGACTGTATGGTAGATATCTATTAGCATCAATTCAGAAGCACAGGCAAGAGAGGCTGAGGTGGTAGCTCATTTGGGGTGGTAGCCTTGCAAGTGCAAGGATCCAAGTTCAATCCCCAGAACTCATCTTTTCTCAAGCCGAGCAAGGTGGTGTAGTCTTATATAATACGACCTCTGGAGAGGCAGGGACAGTCAGAACTCTGGGCTCAATGACCCACTGACATAGCTTGCTTTGTGAACTCCATACCAGTGACAAACACTGTCTGAAAAAAAAATCAATTGCCTCATGCCTGAGGAATGACAACTGAGGCTGTCTTCCAATTTTCACACATGCATGCACACATGTGCGCTCCTGCACACACACACACACACACACACACACACACACAAAGAAAAATTACACAGGCAAGAAAGACATCCTCAAGTATAAGACAACAGTGAGCATGAGGGTCAAAAGTCAGCTCCAGCCGTAATGAACAGTCTCCTCCTCTGCCTGCCTTCAGTTCCCTTAGAAACAGCTTTGGTGACAGTGAAGATTTACGGACACCATGCAGGGGATCCCACAGGTGACCTGCTCGGTTGATGAGGTGTGAAAAAGAGGTGGCGCCTGGCATTTCAACGGTTCCTTGGCAGAAGATTAAATTGTAGCAGCATGAGTGACACAGTCACGTAGAACTGTAATAAACATTTGGATGACTAATGGTCTGGCAAAGTCTTTGAGCTGCTGCATTTGAAAACACAGAGAGCAGCGCATACCCTTGATTCAATTAAAAATATCTGCTTGGGTGCCTCGCTGGAACCCTGTATGTTTACATGGGATGCTTTAAACATGTGGAAAATAGCACAGGTAGTTCATGGTGTGCACACCCGTGTGTACTCTTCTCCACAAATGGCACAACTTCAAAATACACTGGAGAAGAAAAGGTACTCACACCTAAGTACAAAGAAACACAGGGTGGGAGCTGTCAAAGGTGGGGGATGGGCAGCCCCGGAGAACTCAGGTGAAAAGAAGTGGGGTTGGAGGAGACAGAAATGATGTCAAAGGAGAGAGGAACTTCTTTTAGAACCTCTTTTAGAAAGGCACGTGCCAGCTCTTCAAGAGAGGGATTTTTTTTTTTGCAGGCGATGTGTTAAAAGTGTGTTCCTGGAATGTGTCTAGCCCAAAGTGCCTAAGCATTAAATACACACTGAAAGAAGGAAGAGATGATCTGGAGACAGGAGGCAGGAGCCAAGGGCAG